TTGTAGATTATTGTGTCTCAGACGTCGACATTTTACGACGATGCTGTGCACAGTTTAGAACCACCCTCAAGAGCTTAGTTCATGTCGACCCTTTCCAGGAATGCATCACGTTTGCCAGTGCTGCCAATTTAGCCTACCGTCGAATATTCATGCCTAAAGAGACCATTGCCATCATTCCAACCTCGGGTATCAGCCAACACGACAATATTCGGCCAAAGCCTGTTGGTGGCTCACCTGGATTATTCAACTGATTGTATGTAACATACAACATGCCATAAACGGGGGCGAAGTCAAGATCGGAAGTTATACCGTCGACGGATACCAGGAAGCGACTCAAACCGTATACGAATTTTACGGGTGCTATTGGCACGGATGCCCCACCTGCTATCCCAGTCTACAGACCGAAACTCATCCTCACCGGACCCAGTTTACTTACCAGGATTTACACGAAGAAACCCTCAGAAGGAGTTTGGCCTTGGAGAATATGGGGTACACCGTCCGTAGTATCTGGGAGCACGATTTCGATCAGCAAGTGCAACGAGATGTGAGTTTACAACATTTTGTACGAGACCTGGACATTCCCGATCCTTTGAACCCTCGAGACGCCCTGTACGGAGGTCGGACCAATGCCACACGATTATATTGTGAGGAAGGGGACATGAGATACGTGGACGTCTGTTCCCTATACCCTTACGTGTTGAAACACAGACCTTTTCCTGTAGGGCATCCCGAGATCATCACAGACGAGTTCCAGGACGTGAGAAGTTATTTCGGCCTCATTCACTGTCGGGTCTTACCACCCCGAGGCCTCTATCAACCCGTATTACCTTATCGCACGGGAGGCAAGTTATTATTTCCCTTATGTCGAACTTGTGCCGAACGACAGGACTCTACTTCTCAACATCGATGTCAACACACCGACCAGGAACGCAGTCTCACGGGCACCTGGGTGACGACCAAATTACATAAAGCCCTGGACATGGGATATACCTTAGAGCGAATACACGAAGTGTGGCATTTTCCAAAGAGCAGTCAGGAGTTATTCAAATCTTACATCGATACCTTCCTCAAGATCAAACAGGAAGCGTCCGGATTTCCCCCCGACTGTGAGACCTCAGAACAACAACAAGACTACATTCGACAAGTCTTAGACAAAGCAGGCATCATGATGGACATTCTCAGTATCGAGAAGAATCCAGTGAGAAGAACCATCGCTAAACTCTTTTTAAATTGTCTGTGGGGAAAATTTGCTCAACGCTTGTTATTACCCAAAACCAGATACTTGGACGAAGAAGAGGAATTACAGCAACTCTTACAAGATTCGACTCTCGACATCAAGGGCATGCAACTCTTAGACAATAAAGAGAACCCCAGAGAGGACAAGATGCTAGTGAATTATCAAGACAAACAGGAATTCGTAGAAGAATGTCCCTTTGGAAACGTGGTCCTGGCTTGTTTTACCACCGCGCATGCCCGCTTACACCTCTACGAGACTTTACAACCTTTAGGAGATCGGGTCCTTTATTTCGATACGGACAGTATCATTTACCAACATCGGGAAGGAGCCTTTAATCCTACCTTGGGCAATAGTTTAGAAGAATGGACCGACGAATTAGACGGGGATCACATCACCAAATTCATGTCGGCAGGCCCTAAAAATCATGGTTACCGGACCTCCAAAGGAACCGAGATCCATAAAGTCAAAGGCATCACTCTCAACTATCGAACCTCTCAGATCGTCTCCCTGGAGACTTTAGAAAAAATGCTCAAGGGAGAAATAGAGGAAGTTACAGTACCTTATCCCAACAAAATCCAGAGGATCCTTGATCATGACGTCGTGACCAAACCTTTAGAGAAAAAGTATAGAATTGTGTATGATAAGAGACAATTATTGTTACCCTCTTATAACACTTTACCTTATGGTTATTGATATGTTCAATGTTGACATTGAATTTAAAAAAAATTGAAATTTATTTTGTGTTGTTTTTCTTCTTCATATTCTCGATATAAAAGGGGGGCAATACAAATCAAAAGTTCAGTCATGACTGATAAAGTGCCAGATCAACCCATGCGTTATCCTCAGTATTCTCGGCTCTCAAAGGGAGAAGCTACTTTTGAGCATTGATGGCCAGAACCTCTCTTAGGAAAAATACCAGACATTGTTCGAGCTGGGTTTTACTACGAGGGAGTGAAAGATAGTACTACCTGTTTTCATTGTGGAATGACTTTAATCACTTGGGATCCCGAGGACGATCCTTGTGTAGAACATGCTTATTGGAACCCCAATTGTCCTTACATCAATCTGTATAAAGGACGAGGGTGGGTGATGAATGTGTTCATTGCGGGTTTAGATCAGCATGGGTATAAACCTTTACCTGAGATTAAACCTCTACTGAACCCAGAACCAGACGTCCAGGCTCGAGGAAAATGTCACATTTGTTTAGACGAGGAATTACAAATCGCTTTTCTACCTTGTGGACACTTATGCTGCTGTGCCTTGTGTGCTCCTTTTTTCCACTTTTGCCCCATCTGTCGAGCCGAGATTCAACAACCCAAACGCATATTTCTGTGTTAACTATAAATAGGACCCTGAACCCACCTCTTCCTTCATTGATCTACATGTATTCCGAGGAGACACCCCTCCCCTCTTTTCAGTTGAAACACGAATTTATCATGGTGGTCGCTGGACCCTCGAAATCGGGCAAAACAGAATTCGTCAAGAAATTAGTGAACAATTTACACTGGATCACTCCCAGGCCCGAAAAAATCTTCTGGTGTTATCGGGAATGGCAACCCGCTTACACTTCTTTAAAAGATAAGGTGTCTTTCATCCGAAATATTCCTGAAGACGACGAGAAATTAGTAGCCAATTTGAGTGTGCCACACTTACTCATTTTTGACGACATGATGGGAGAAAAAGCCATCGAATCTATTGTGGATTGGTTTACCCGCAAAGCGCATCATCGGAATACCAGTGTGATTTACATCACTCAGAATTTATTTGATCGAGCCGCCTCTCATCGCACCATTAGTTTGAATGCTCATTATTTAGTCTTATTCAAAAATCCCAGAGACAAATCTCAGATCGGTGTGTTGAGTCGACAGTTAGCCTTGCCTCATTTGATGTCTGCCATTTAATGAAAGGGGTCTTACCTATCAATAAACAGACCCAAAAGTTTATCGATCATCATCGTCAAGATTTAAAGATCATTGCCGATCAATCGGCCAGTGATCAAGACAGAAAAACGGCTATTTTGAAACGCGGAGGAGCTGGATTTCTAGGCGGAGTCATCATTCGTCGTTTATTTAAATGGAATAGTCCTAAAAAACGCCAGGTTCGTCGTTTGAAGAGTGTGGTGGTGAGAGTCGATAATAAGAAACAAAGAGTGTTTCCGGATTGGATGGTGCGAGTCGGAGGAGCAGCTCAAAAGAGCAGAAAAAAGAAGAAAAAGCCCCACCCAAGAAAAAAGCAGCTCCCAAGAAAACAGCGGCGACGAAAAGGCGAAAATCCACCAACCCTCAAACTCTAGCTCAACGTAAAGCCAGGCCCGAAAGTCTAAAAACCGAAATCAATCAATATTATAAGGAACAAAGACAAAAGACCATAGGGGAGTTGCTCAAGAAACAAGCAGAACTGAGAATGGATCGTGCTATGGGACCCATAGGTAGTCAAAGAGTCAGCGATTTAGAAGTGTTTCCTCGAGTGAATGTGGGCATTCCCTCCTCCCCTGGAATTAAAGTTCCCATCCATTCCCCTTAAATAACACGCTTTCAACCCTTGACGGCCTCCACCCCTAAACTTCCTAAAGGCCTGAGATATAAATGCCGATATTGTGGAAAAATTTATGTCAGGGAGAAAGCTAGAGATAAACACGAGAGCGACAAACACGGAGGGTATGCCCCTCCTTAAGAGACACTATGGGTACGTTCGATTTGAGCAACACTTCAGACACCCGTGTTGAGGTTGAGCATGCGCAACTCGTGAAAACATTTAGTACTAATCGAATGCCTCGAGTCAAGACTAGTGTAAACAAAAATGGTTGATAAAATTGGTTTAGTTATTACAGTTGATTATTTTCTAGAAGAAGACGACGTAGAAGAAGATGAGGATGATGTTTTCCCATTTCTACTTGATAGTAGGTTTTTTCGGAGAGAAAACGTCCCGTCTGTCCAAAGTTTTTTCGAAGAGGTTGTTCCCAGATTGTCTTCCAATGATTTTGAACGTCATTTTAGACTCACAAAAGAAACTTTTAACAGAATATTACAAGAGATAGAACCGAATATTTCAAAGATTGTCAGAACAATGGGCAAACAGCCAATCGTACCTAAGAAAAGAACTATGATATGTATTTGGTACCTTTGTAATAATACAAGTATGAGAGAAATTGCCTTGCTGTTTGGCCTCTCACAATCGACTGTATTTGAATGTATTCACGATGTGTGTGAGGCCCTTTGCTCAATTCGTAGCAGAGTTATAACATGGCCAGATCTTCAAAGACAGCAAGAAATATCAGAACATTTTGAAGCCGAGTGCAAAATACCTGGCATAGCTGGAATAATTGATGGGACTCATATTACATTAACAAATGTTCCATTTGAAGATACAGATTACATCAACCGCAAGGGATACCCCTCGATTCAACTCCAGGTCATTGTTGACCATATGCTGCTAATAACTAATAGTTTCGTTGGCTGGCCAGGCTGTACTCATGATTCCCGCGTTTTTAGAAACTCACCAATCTATGAGGAATTGGAGAATGCGATGCTCTACCCAAATATATTCATAATTGGTATGATCTTTATTCACAATAATCTATATAAATGTATTTCTGATCCAGAAGTCTCGGATAAGACTGTAGTTCTACTGGTTTATACTTATAATGAAGGAAATTTCAATATTTAGTAACCATGGCAGCACTGCTCATCAAAATAAAAACGGATACACAGAATTATATATTTTAATGTAGTCTACTTGTATTTTGTTATTTGAATTGATCCCAAAACTGTAGGAGAAGTACCATTATGAAAAACTGTTTACAGACAGATTGATGGACAAAGCCTCACAGTCCCATAAACTCTTCTGAACTTCAACCAGTAGAGCTAAAAGCTTTATCTATATAACTACGATTCTGTCCCAAAATAATTGCAAAATTCCTTGTTTATTTATATCCATATTTTTTCTGTTATAGGAGATTCGGCATATCCTCTTAAGCCATACTTAATTACTCCCTTTAGAGATAATGGACGCCTCACTGCTGCACAAAGACATTTCAATAGGAAACTGAGTACATCTCGTCAAACTGTGGAAAGAGGAATTGGTTTACTTAAGGTGTCGTTTCAGGAGGCTTACAAGTTTACCTTGTTTTGATGTGGAGCGAACATGTAAAGCTATTACAGCATGCTGTGTGCTTCATAACATTTGTATACTTTCAAATGATTCAGTGAATGACATACTCGACAACAATTTTCCTGACAACAATGTTAACAATTATGGCCAATTGTATGCAAATGCCCCAACCGGTGTACATCGTCGCAATGAGATTGTTCAGTATTTACAGACTTTGTGATCCACTTAAATAAAAGACATCAGAAAAATAAAATTTATTGAAAATAAAAAACTGTTTTGTGTACAATAAAATCAACATTCAAAATAATGACATAATGGGACAAGTTTGTATAACAAAAGGCCATTTGGCCAGCTCAGGTGAGCAAAATAATCAACCTCTTTGGCACATGAAATAAAAGTAACAAAAGCCTTATTTTTGGCATCATGAATCAACAAAAATAATTTATGAACACAATAATAGGTGAAACAAATGAAGAACATGATTTTTTCATCTTTGTGAACAAAAAAAAATCACTATTTAATCCATACCATTTAAGCTTGTGCTATTATTTTAATGTAGCAATTCTAACATCTGAGCTGTCCTGGAAATATGTTAATTTACTAATCACATAATCAGAGTTTCACATAAACAAATAATTAAGAAATTCAAACATTTCCTGAAATTATGAAAAAAGTTGCTCATCTTGCACTTCTTCAACATTGTAGGACAGAGATAAAACATATTTTTCTAATGCACATGTTAACATGCAATGAAATTCCTTGATAGGAACAAAAGTGATGTTCCCGATCTGAATACTGACTGTATCAGACACATGTTCAATATTTAAACCTGTTTCAATGAGTAATGTCTGAGGAGTGAAACACTTGGTTGACAATTGCTGTGAAGACACATCTTCATCCATATTTTCACAGTCAGAGTTGACAATAGGTGTTACGTATGAAACTGGTGAATTGAAACATTTAGTGGGAGTAGGCATAAGGTACAATTGTAGGTCTTTGCAGTAATCTTGGTCATATTTTTGGAAATCATAAAATTCCTTTAAGTTGATACCAAATCTAAAATGGTAGAAATAAGCATATTATTGATACAACGTAGATATTAATGCTTTACTCATCATCTTTATCAGTTTTGGCCTGTTTTGACTGCAAACATTCAATAAGTTTTCCCATTAAATTCATTTTTTCTGTGTGCTGTTCTTTTGCGAGCTCGAACCTCTCTTTACGATATTTTTCTTGTCCTTTAGTGTATTCCTCTAGTAACGAGAACTGATCTTTTCTTTTTCGTTTTGTGATCTTCTTTGCAGCAGATGACGATGATGATGATGTTGATGTCTTAGAGGAGGATTCTGATGATGATCCTGAATTGCATGTAGAATCTTCCTTGTCATCTTCAGTATTTACCTTTTTGGAAGCCATCACATATTGTGGTCTTGTTCCACTTTTGTTACCGTAGAGTTCTCCAAAATCGTCATAAAAAGGACATGTTTTCTTTTCTGCACCTGTACGGGAATTGTTATCAACAGTCTTTTTGTATTCCCTTTTCATGGCTTTCCATTTGTTAGAGCACTGGGTTGCAGTCGCTGCAATACCGAGGTCAGAGAGTTCATGTGATATAGTATCCCAAAGGGATTTGTGGACCTTGCTACCATTAAATTGTTTCTCTTTTTGTCTTCTGATGTCAAAAAGACATTTTATGTCCTCTTTTGACCAATTTTTCACATCAGTAACATCTTTCTCCTCTTGTGTCATTTTATCATTGCTACTCTCTCCTAAAATTACAAAAATAATAAAGTTATATATTCTCTATTGAGTGGCAATATGGCATGACAAATTACACAAAATTTCTTTGGTAGTACTGAATCATTTAACATCAAAATACACATTGACCTAATAAAATAAAAAACAAGATGTGTTTGAGAAACACTTAAAAATTTGCCCGGTGGTACTAAAGTAAGAAAAAAACAACATATTTTTAGCATATACGTCACAGTCAAGGTCACAAGGTCATTGTCATTTGAAAGAACTTGATAAGTAAAGTAAGCATACCAAATATGAAGTCTCTATCTCTCATGGTTCAAAAGTTATGGTGAAGGTTTAAAAAAAGCTATTTTAAGCATATAGGTCACAGTCAAGGTCAAAAGGTCATTGACCTTGGTGTCATTTGAAAGAGTTTAATAAGTGGAGTATGCATACTCAATATGAAGTCTCTTTCATTCATGTTTCAAGAGTTATGACGAAGGTAAAAGTTTGCAGACAAAGAGACTAGAGAAAAACAATATACGCCTCACAAGATCCAGGCGCATAAAAATTATCTGGAACCCTGAGCATCTATAGTTGTGTGCCAAAAGTGATAATTTTATTTTTTCTCTAATAGTTCCTTGAAAGATCATCACATATTTAATTTCAACTTAATTTTAATTTAACTTAATTTAATTTATAGTAAAAGACAGTTCATCACTTAAAATCAGTTCTAAAATTCAAGATCAATGTTGACTATATGATTCATAAATTGTGAGTATGTGACTTAAAAATTCATGTCACACTCAAATTACAATATTTTTAAATTATCAATGCTGATCAGATAAAACTATTAAATTGTTTTGATCAACTACAACAATGTCTTGGACTATAAAAAAATTGTGATGAAATCTGTCAAGAAATGTTGTCATACCAGTGATTTTACAAAATATTGTGTTCAATGAAACATAGAGAGATAAAATAAAATTATCTTCACTTTTGGCGCACACATCTGTACAGCTCTTTAAGCACTTACAATCGAAATAGCATTGCTATAGGAGATTTGATCAGTGTAAGAATGGTACTACAATTTAATTACCTTGAAAGCCTGAGGTACTTTTGATAAAATCAAGAGCCTGTTTTCTTCTCTCTTGATCTGCAATAAAATCAAAATACTATCTTCAACAATAGCAACTTTATCTCATCATGGATCATTTTATTTTCATCATTCTGATATAGAGATAGAATTATTTAAAATATTTATTATAAATCAAGATAATCAAAATTGGCATAGTTATGCAATTCAATAGTAATATTCACTTTGCGAAACAAAACAACCTAAAAAACAGTTCTGTCACATATTTTAAGGAAATGGTTTGTATGCAGGATACTTAAAATTCAACCTACAAACCCACAAAGTTTTTATGCATGTATCATTAAAATATAGTTACAGCTTATAATATACTTTAAAAAAATATGTTTTTGGTTACTGACTGACAATTACTTACCATCTGAGTTCAGCATTTCCACGATTTTGCAATCTGCAACTACTTCATAAATTTTTTCCTCCATCAGTCACGGAAATTTTGAAAAGCCTTTAAATAAAAAATATAATATAAAGTATATAGTAAAAAGATTAATAGTAGGCCTATATTGTGGCCTAATATCTCAGAAATGTTTATGTGCAAAATCAATGATTGCAAACTTTAGTAATTTTTAAGTCAAATTATGAAATATTGAAAATCTGCACTCATTACAGGAGGGACTTGAGCATTTTTTTTTCGTCCTGTATTAATATTATATCTAATTAACCAATAACACTTTCGGCGTAAAAGTGGCGCTTAAAAATTAAATTTCGATTTTAAGACGTAATACTGACAGTGAGTGAGCCTTGTTGCATAAACTATATCAATTCGTATCCAATTAAATATATACAATCGAGATTCATGTGCATAAAACAGTATTATGTCTTAGAAATATCATTTTGTTAATGCAAACTTACTGTTCTTCTCCACCCGCCGCCATATTGGAACACGTTTACTTCCAAAAAGTTGGAGAGTATACTCGCGCCACTCGGGTCCGACACTCGAGTCATACTCCCGGTGTTTTATTTGCGGAGAGTAAGACACGTGTGACACGGGTTCCCAAATCGAACGTACCCCAATATGGCGGCCAACGGGAGGTAACTTTCGCTAAATTCAGGCCTATCGAAAACTATTTTATCGAAGATAGGTTGTTTTATTTACAACTCTAGTGACTCGTGTAACCCGTGTCGCTTAATCGAATATACCCAAAGGGTATATTCGATTAAGCGACACGGGTTACACGAGTCACTAGAGTTGTAAATAAAACAACCTATCTTCAACACGGGTGATCAACCCGTGTTACGCGAGTATACTCCTCAGTTTACCTGGAGTAACAGGTGAAAGAAATGGCGGGAAGTGAAGACGCATTGTTAATCCGAAAACTGTTTCTGCATAAATTTGTCAGTGTTTGTATTAGAAATTTACAACGTCAATGAAAAGAAGTCTGCATTATAATTTTGATATCCCTCCCCCCCTTTTTTTATAGTTTTTTTGTCAACCTCTTAAAATTACGGCTGTGCTATCATTGGCAGTTTTTTATTTTATTTTTTTTTTAAATAAAGTTTATCTTTTTTTTTTAAATCTGCCTATAATTATTGCCCGAACCTATGGGGCCCGTTTTACAAAAGAACTTACGACTAAAACCAAAAACTTATGTTGATTATGAATTTTTGAAAATTAACCTTTTTGGAAATTGTTACCATAGAAACATTCTAAATTCTTTTCAAGAAGAATAAAATCGCAGAATCAATTTTTGTCTTAGGTGTAAGTTCTTTTGTAAAACGGGCCACTTGATTACAAAAATGTCTAATAGATGCATATTGATTCACTAAAATTATTTTGATATATTTAACAATCGCAGCATAGATATCTCGTGTTAATTACCTTATGAAGTTAAATTATTATTAGTAATAATTCATTTTTAACATAATTGCAGGATCAAATGTGAGAGCAATTTCAGTTACATGCATGTATTACAATGTAATCTTATAAATATGGAGTAGAATGGAGGGTTGATTAAAAACTAGCTCCTATAATTAGTGGGAAAAGAGTGGTTTACAGTAAGTTTATTTCAATCAAAACTGAAAAAAGTGATTATTTATTGCGTATTTGACATATATGTTGCTTTGCAAAACCTAATTCTGGATAGAATGGACATTTCGGCGTGTTTGTAAACTTTCTGGTGCCTCGATGTGTGAAAAGTGTTCACCGACTTATACTGAGCTAGGCTGACAACTTATGGACACAATAACCTTGTATCGCTCATTTGTGTGTATATAGATAGATAGATGTATATAGATAGGGATGTCATTGCAATCATCTTCTAGTGATACAATTAGTCTAGTCTCGCAAAGTCATTCTATTATTTACGGAGAGACAATGGAGGTCGGGTCCCCAGAATCAACCGGTTCTTTGTTTATAATAAATGTTATAAGCATATAGAAATTACCTTTTCAGCCTTTAATTACAATCGTAATAATTATTGAACAATTTCATGTGTATTTTTTCAAAAAAAAAATTAGTTGAAATATTGAACATTAAATTTACAGACTCAAAATTAAAATCCACAGCCATGTAAGACCATGAAAAACACATACGCTCAAGTTTTCTTTTTCTCTTTGTAAAAGTATATGTCTCTCACATCCTATGACTAACACTATATTAATGAAAAATGTCAGCTTAACGTCGTTAGATATGTCACGTTACGTTACAGAAGCATCTCGCCCAAATGTCCAATTATAATATGTAATTCTACAAAATGCTACCCTTTTCTCAATTTTCTTTCTCAGGAAAAGTCTGGTATCCTCTCGCATCTTATCTTTATTTTTTACTTATATTTGAAAATACTCCCCCATCTTTCCATATGATGTTCCAATGTCAGTAGCAACATGAGCAATGTCAAGAACAGTAGGCCAGCCGACAACGTCCATTAACGTTTTTAATTTGTCTAAGGGAATACGTACTTAAACAAGTCCTCTAAAAAGCGACCACACCTTTTATGAACGTCCATGGAAGTTCTGTTTTCCTTAAATTTCTTATGCTACTGGAAAACCAGTAACTAACTGCATTTTTCCCAAGCCTATGTCAATAATATACGCGTTTAAGATAGAGTGATCCCGGGATTTTCACAAAATGTGTGACTTGACCGAAATTTGACGTTATCTAACAACTTAGAGATGGACAATAAACCATCAACTTATAAACTAAATATCCAGTAAAATCAGTAAAACTCTCACAAAAAGGTTTATAAAATATCAAGCAATCGTAATAATGACATAATTTTCGTTTTATATACCACATAGGGCCGTTTAATTCTTATTTCACGAATTCAGAATTTAAATGATAATAAACGCGTTAATGTCTCCCCCGCATTTCCAAACAACCGTTTCTATGGCAACTGCCATAAAGTTACTATCGAAGATATTTAAAATGTTTTTTAATTTAAAATATTCATCAAGTGTCTATATTTTCATTTGTAATTTTCAACCAATTCCACTGAATAATAAATAAAATATGAAGAAATTCCACGAACTTTTGGATCAACCCTCGTATATTTAAAACTATTTCCATGTATGTATGTGGAGACATTCTTATTCTACTTTTTTTTATTTTAATAAGAGGAGGTATTGACTTGTTAAATAATATTGCAAGGATAAATAATCTATAAAAAACATGTTGTATCCACAGGCACCTGACGTTACATTTGTACTCATTTTTCGTTTAATAAAAAAGAATATACCCATACCTAATATATATCTTTTTATTAAAAGAAAAATAAGTAACGACAGGTTCCTATGGTTGTACCGGTATCTGTGAAAAATAAATTTTGTTGAACAATTAATTTCAGCTTTGATGTCTTGCATTAAATTATCTGCTATTCTTTATTTGATAATTGGATATTGTTTGTTAATCAATTGTTTGTCCTGTTCAAACCAGATATACAGGGAATATACTGTTTACCCGCCATATTTATATAAACACTAAACAACACGAGATGTTTTATTTAGATCACTAGAGTTCAATCAATGAGCATGCGCATATTTAACACTAGTGCGACACGGGTTGTCTTAATCGAATACACTCTATAAAAGGGAGTGACATGGGAAACTTCTCTTCATTGTTTTCAAAGATGGTCAAGAAGAAAAAGGGATGTTGTACGCGATTAAGAGCGCATGCCCCTCTTTTAAGAGTGTTATCTGACCCTCACTATTCCTCGTCCTTAAAAACCGGGATTTTAAAACATTGTTCGGAGATAGTATTTTGAAAATTTGTGAGATCGTCTACAACCTATTAAAAGGAGTGTTACCTCTCAATTCGGCTCAGAAACGAAAACTAGCTCCTAAGAAACACATCTTAAGGAGAAGTCAAGCAGAAAGGTGGGTATTTTTCCTCTTTTAATCTCAGCAGCTGCTCCTTTACTTTTGAACCTCCTAAAATGAGTCGTAAAATGGTGTTAGTGCCTGAAGTTCTGTTGAATGAACTCAAAGGAAAACTACCCAAACCTCCGGAATTTCAATCCACTCTGAGTATAGGTCAAGAATTGGACCAGATTACACGACGTGAAGATTTAACCCCAGAAGAAAAAGTGGCTTTATACGGTCAAGAACTTCATCGGTATAGGAATTATTTACAACAAGTGAGAGAGCCAGGGACTAGCAAAAAAACCTCAGCCCCTGCACCCGTAGCCCCAGCAGTAGCCCCAGCCCCCGCAACAGCAGCAGCTCCAGACCCCGAGATCGATCAACAAATCCTTCAAAGTGTGAATAAACCCATGCAAAGGAAAGCTGAATTATTATTAAATCATTTAAAGAAAACCAAAGTATTGACTTGGAATAAAGACGGAGAAATCAGTTATCGAGGTCAAAAAGTACCCGATTCTAACAATGTGGATTTAATGGCCGAAAACATGAGAACCAGACCCTTGAAAAATCATCCGGTTCCTAAAGGATTAGATGATTTGCTCAAGCTTTAAAAGAGACCCATGCTCCCATGGACTACGTGAAAAATCAAAACCTTATAAAAACCATGCAGAAACCGGGAAAAATAAGTACTCCGCAAGGGGCCTTCAGTGATGACGATGAGGAAGAGAGCGGATTTCATGATGCTTCTTCTTTTTTTACCCCTATTAGACGACCTATAAAATCCAAGCCTTCTCCTATTTTAAAGTTAGAGGAAGCCCTCCAGAAGAAAAAGAAAGTCAGACCAGATCTGTTTCAAAAGAGATTATAACAAATCGACGAAGATTGGCTTTCATTGCCTAAGACATGAAGAAGAAGAAGGAAGTGGAAGACATTTTAAAAGAGATTTATTACGATCCCAAGAGAGGGTATGGAAGCATACAGACTTTGTATCGTCAGGTCAAAAGTCTGGGGCATAAGATTTCCTTAAACACCATACGAGAATGGTTAAAAGAGCAAGATACCTATACCTTACATAAACCCATTCATAGAAAATTCCGGAGACAACAGACCAGAGTGACGGATATAGATGAACAATGGCAATTAGATTTAGCCGATGTGTCCAGTTTAAAGAAACACGATGACGGCTATACGTTTTTATTGTGTGCCATTGACGTCTTATCTAAATATGCTTGGGTGGTGCCTTTAAAACAGAAAACGGGAAAAGATATGATTCGAGGATTACAAGAGATTTTCCGACAAGACGGTCGACGCCCCGTCCGCATTCAATCGGATCAAGGCAAAGAATTTACCAATCGAGAATTCTTACAGGCTTTTAAATCCATTCATTTCTTTACCACTCGCAATACGGACACCAAAGCCAGTATCGTGGAACGATTTCAGAGAACCCTCAAAGCACGCATGTGGCGGTATTTCACTCGGGATAAAACAAGACGGCATTTAGAGGTCTTACCGGATTTAGTGTATGCTTACAATCATACGTATCATCGCAGTATCCAAAGAGCCCCAGCTCAAGTGAAGCCCTCGAATGTGTTAAAAGTCTGGAAAACTTTATATTGGGAATCACAGACATCACTTAAAAAACCCAAGTTTAAAACAGGAGATAAGGTCCGCATCAGTAAAGCCAAACGCACTTTTGAAAAAGGATATTTACCGAACTGGACCACGGAAAATATTTACCATTGCTCAAGGAGTCCCGGGTCGGTATCCTTACGTGTATCGAGTACAGGATTACAACAAGGAGGAAATAGAAGGGACTTTTTACGAGAAAGAATTACAACAGATCATTAAAAAAGACGACGTGTACGAAGTGGAGGAAATCTTGGGGTATAAAAAGCGACGAGTCGGGAAGAAAATCATTCAAGAAGTCAAAGTCAGGTGGAAAGGATATCCCCCTAGTTTCGATTCATGGATTCCTCAAACGGATCTCATCCAGTAACTCCTCATTGGAAATTTTGTGGAGAGAATATTCCTCGAGAAGAAATTGTGTATTTTGCCCAGTTATTCATTTGTATTTCCCTCATCATCACTAGTGTGGTCATGTTAGCTTTACACGATCCTAATCGAGAATATTGGATGGTCTGTGTGAGTTCTTCGGTCGGTTATATCATGCCTAGTCCTACCATGATGCATCAAACCCCTACGGTCAAGAAGACGAATTCACCAAGTTAGTATCTCTATATTAGGAGACACCCAAACCAAAGGGGATCATTTCCCATCTAAGTGAGGGATAGAGCACATCATGGAGTATCGTTGGAAAATAGAAGAACCTGAAGGGACCGCTGTAAAGGGAGAATGGATGAGAAACAAAGAGACATGTATTCAACATTTCTTTGATCAAAATCCAGGACAAAAAGGTCACAATGAAATCTACTTGTATAAGAGAATGAAATTACCGGACCGCCAAGGAAGCAAACACATGGTCTTATGGTCACCTAAATATCGAGAATTCAAATGGAAAGTCAAATACGTCTTGGTTCACTGAAGACAGGGACCCGAGAAGACTTGGATTCAAGGAAAATGGATGGAAAAAGCTGTAGATTGTATAAAAGACTATCTGACGGAAGTGATCCAAAAAGGATACGATATCATGGACTGTGCTTGTGAAACAGACTATTTGTACATGAGGAGATCGTTTCCCATACAAAAAGAACTGAACAGAAGTTTTGAATGTTTGTTATGATGATGTTGTTGTTATTGTTGTTGTTATGAATAAAATATAGAAACCAAAATTCTAGTGTTGTTAGTTATTTCCCTATACACACAACTGAGCGCTCTATATACACTAGGTTTGTGATGATGACGTCACAATCACATTCTTGAATCGCTGCCAAGTACATCTTATGTATTCAGCATAAAAAAACGTCCCAAAGTCGTACATGAGCAAAACGTAGGTCCAACTTATTTTTGCACACGAAAAAACACTAAGGTATATAAAGCGGAGCTTGGAGTACCCTGCGCTCATTGTACCCAATTTTGAAAAAGGACACTGAGCAAGTCAGACGTGTTTTATTTAATCAATTTAAAACCTTCACTACTGGCTTTTAAAATCCCTGTCCGTATGAAAATCCCCTGTCTTTCTCTGTATAATACAGCATATTCACAGTAATCTACGGTAAATCTACAGTATGCTACGGTACGCCAGCTCTGTATATACAGTAAATCTCTGTATGCCACTGTATGTATCCCCAGCATGCCACAGTTACATACAGTAGGCCCCGATACGCCTACAGTATGCCACTGTATGGCTACTGTTTCCTACAGACAACTACAGTAAACCCCAGTATATGCCCCAGTACGCCCCTGAATATGTTCATTGAAGCAAAAAGAAGCACACTCCCAGAGCACTGTACGGTTACCTAAGATGTGCGATTATCAATTTAGTACACAGAGTTACTTACCTAAGACATTTTTGAACAATAATTTAAACACAAATTATTTTTTTAAATTTGTTGAGAGACTTATTGAGTTCTTTTATAACTCTGAAATAACTCTTAAAAATTAATAAAGCATTGCTTCATAAAATATTTATCTATCTATTTTTTTCATAAATTATTTAATTATCTTTTAGTTTTATTTATTTATTTATATACTTGAAATGACTTTGTACCTTTTGTGGAAAAAAAAACACAGCCGGGGTAATGCTGCATTTTGGGAAATTCTTGTTTTTTAAATTAATTGATGTTCTTTAAAAAAATTAATCTAATTAATAGCATGTTATTAATCATTGCATAAAAAACCTTTTTTTTTTCTTATTTCTAAATTGCATATACAAACAAAATTATTAATTGTATACCCGAAAGTTGGATTTATTTGGTTTATTTTATGTAAACAAGTTTACGCTAAAATGTCTCTCAAAGTCTCTTTGAAGCATATTTAAACTACTTTTAATTATTTTACTTCCGTGTTGGATATCAGAATAATCGTCTCATTATGCACAATCTTAACCCGTCAAAAACTTTTTTGATACTTTTGTTTTGTTTTGTTTGACAAAATTCGGTTCTCTTACAAAGGGAAAATGTTACACTGTATTTCAAACAGCCGCAGAGTGGGCACGGTCGCTCTCTGCCACACAATAAACAAGGTAAAGTGGTCAGTGAAAAAGACAATAGGTGTCATTACTGTGTACCCCGCGTCACTGGTAAACAATCAATGGCTTTGAAGTTCTTTCATAATCGTGTTAGGGTTTTGAAAATCGATTTTTTTTTCAATCAAAACAAAGTAAAAATATGAAATTGCAATTGACAAATTAAAATTGTGCATTGTGACCATTATTTTGATATCCATCGTGGACGTAAAATAATTGAAATTTGCTTTAATATGCTTAAAAAATACTTTGTAGCATATTTTTGGGATAAATAATTTTTAAATAAAATAAAATTTAAAAAAAAATCAATTGGGGGGGGGGGGGGGGTATATATAAATGATTATTTTGTTGTCTTGTCGTTTACAAAAATAAATAAACTATTTATTTATTTATTTAGTTTATTTATGTATTTATAGATAAATTTTAGGGATGTCAACGAGTACCCGGTTAACCGGGTACTCAATCGAACGTACGAGTATCGAATACTAAAATCGGTACTCGGTTACTCAGATGTATACACATTTTTGAATATTTCTAATCTTATTTATTAATGCATTAAACAACCTTTTTTAAAACGTAAAATGCTCATTGCACTTGTACATACAGTAATTAGGGTTTACTACGACTCTAAATGACCGTTATCGCCTGTGGAAGTGTTTATACAGTAATTATCGTGACCAATTACCTGGGGTACCTGGCTTTTCTCACCTTCGGCTGCCTTCTTCCCTTATTTTTTGTTTGTTTGTTTTTACTGAACATCGTTTAAGGTCTATTATATGTTTAAATAAATTAGATAATTTTGTCAATCTCCGAGAAGCCGTAAATTCTTGGGAAAAGAGCGGATGATATTACACGTGCGATTGTTGATATGGTTGTGTTTGATTACATGCCAATACAACTGGTTGGAGGCAAAGGCTTTAAAAAAAACTGATGTCCATCGTTGCATCAAACTACAAAATACCGTCCCGTAATACTATATAAATCTGGGATCGAACAAGTGTACTAAAATCATAAATCCGCTCTGTTTGGAGAACTTGATCAAGTTCAAGTTGATACTGTACGTAGCTCTTACGACTGCATGATACCTGGTTGTCAAACGCGACAAAGAGTTACATTACAATTACTGAGCAGATTATTTTTTTAAACAAAAACACTGTGAACAACTTATGATTTTATTTCTTGTGTTTATATCTGATAAATAAATTGAATTTAAAAATTGTTATATTAAATTTCGTCGGGCACGAAGTGCTCATCATTATTACAACAGAAATACATTTACGGATAAGCCTCCTATCAGTGCATCTGGTTTTATTTCTACAAGAGTTTACAATGTTTTACAGTCTTCAATTTACTTGTTCATGTTTATTTACACTTTTACCGAGTACCCGGGTACTCGATCGGAAAAACGTCCGAGTAACCGAGTATCGAAAATTGACCGATTTGACATCCCTAATAAATTTATAAACCGAATAAATAAATAAGATGAATTATTAGTTCATTTTTTAATTTTGTATTTTTAAAGTCATTTATTTTATTTAATTTTCAATTACCACTTCACCTTGTTTATTTTGTGCCGTGACTAGTATGCAGCTCTGCATTTGTCAAGAAATACATCGATTTGTTTTTACAATGATTAATTTCATGCCCTTAATCAATTTTATTTATTTTTTGAAAGAAAATCAATCAATTTAAAAAAAACTACAATTTTCCAAAATGCAACATTACCCCTGCTGTTTTGGGGTTTTTTTAAACAAAAGTTACAGAGTCACTCCAAGTATTTTATGGATTAAATACGTGTTCGCAAAATAAATAAATAAATAAATCTACTAATCAATCAATTCAAAGAATAATTAAATAATCAATTTTAAAAAAATGATAGATAAATATTTTTTGAAGCAATGATTTATTAATTTTTCAGAACTATTTCGATTCAGAGTTATGACAGAACTCAATAAGTCTCTTAACAAATAAAAAGATATATAACTTTGTGTTTGTAATTTTGTTAAAAAAAATTCTCAGGTAAATAACTAAATGTACTTGATTGATAATCTCACATCTTAGGTAACAGTACAGTACTCTGGGAGTGTGTAAAATTCTTCTTTTTGCTTCAATGAACATATACAGGGGCGAACTGGGGCATATACTGGGGTTTACTGTAGTTGTCTGTAGGAAATAGTAGCCATACAGTGGCATACTGTAGGCGTATCGGGGCCTACTGTATGTAACTGTGGCATGCTGGGGATACATACAGTGGCATACAGAGATTTACTGTATATACAGAGCTGGCATACCGTAGCATACTGTAGATTTACCGTAGATTACTGTGAAAATGCTGTAGGATACAGAGAAAGACAGGGGATTTTCATACGGACAGGGGTTTTAAAAGCCAGTAGTGCTTATTACCTCAATTTAACCGACGGTCAGTGGGAAGTGGCTTTAACAGAAATGATCTATCCTTGTAGTATCGAAAATATCAGTGAAGAAGAAGCTTATCTGGACATATGTATGGTGGAAAAAATTCCACCCTTTTTTAAAAACATATCCCCGGGGGAGAAACTGGATCTGGAGGACCCGGTTAAGTATCATTGGGGAAGGTTTCAACTCTTGAAAAGTGCCCCCATCACCTTTGCAGATACCCAACTGTTAGTGGAATGGAGACAAGCGTATTGGTTGAATTGGACTTATGATCCAAAAGAAAAATTAAATTTGTATCGCCTTAAATTTAGACCGGGACCTTATGCTAACCCTGAAGCTCTCCTGGCCGAAATGAATGAAGGTTTAGAAAGGTGTCTGAAAAATATCTGGAAAAAATATCAAACCTGGACCAAACCGAAGAGCAGGAATACAAGAAGTGCGATCATGGTGGCCGGAGATGAGGTGTATGGGGCTTTAAATCCCTCCTTAAAGAAAGTTCTAAAAGACCTGAGAGCAGAAAAAGAAGATCCTCCTAAAACCGAGATGAAATTGAACTATCGGGGCAATTTCGATCGAGTGAATTATGTCACTCATTTACGTCAAATTCCCATCTTTATACGGTTTCCCTTAAGTCTGGCTTATAAATTAGGCTACCACGGTCGCAAATTGGTGCCCGAAAATTGGACAGAAAACACCACCAAATGGATCAACATCAGTTACATGGCTCCGGACACTCCCGATTTATACCGGAATTTAAAATCCATGTATGTGTATTGCGATCTCATTCAACCCCAGACGGTTGGCTCCAATGCCTTGAAATTATTAAGAGTGGTGCCTTGTCATTTTGAGGACAAAGAAAAACAATGCAAATGGGAACCCATTCGAGCGGAATATGTCCCTTTGAATAAAAAACATTTCGATACCATTGATATTCACAACATGACTCCTTTAGGACAGCCCATGCCTTTTTTAAGTGGTAAATCCATCGTGAAACTTCATTTCAGAAAAGTATACTGAGATGAGTGTACCGTTATTGTGTTCCATCTTATTGGGCGTGATGACTTGTCTGGTCTGCTGTCTGTATTGTATTCAGCCCTAAAAGGGTATAAAAGGAAGTCCCTGAGGACCGAAAGGTCAGTTAAAAAAGAGACAAGAACCATGCAGTATCATCCAGGATTACTGAGATAAAGAGGACACGGACAGTTTGTCTATCATAAAGGCTTATTACGTCAAAAAGGACACGGTTTTTTAGGATCCCTATTTAAAGTAGCAGCTCCCTTAGTCAGCAATCTAGTAGGAGGATTATTAGGAGGGGGTTAACAGCAACCCCCACCACCAGCCTATCATCCACCCCAGAACTATCAAAGAGAGAAAGGATTTTTTACTGATTTACTGAAAACCGGAGCTAAATACGCCTTGACTGCTGCTGCTAGAACGGAATTAGACGTATTAGAAAATAAGAGATCTTTAAAAGACGCAGTCAAAACTCACGGAGTAAGAGCCCTCAAAAATACTTCGGGAATGGTGAAACAAAGAATGAATCTAGGAGGTACTAAGAAAAGAAGAAAAAGAATGAAAAAACACAGAGGATAGGGAATGGGGATGAAAATAACAAGTCAAAGAAGAAGAAGACGACAGAGAGGCCGAGGATTTTTTACTGATTTACTGAAAACGGGGGCTAAACACGCCTTGACTGCTGTTGCTAGAACGGGGTTAGACGTATTAGAAAATAAGAGATCTTTAAAAGACGCAGTCAAAACTCACGGAGTAAGAGCCCTCAAAAATACTTCGGGAATGGTGAAACAAAGAATGAATCTAGGAGGTACTAAGAACAGAAGAAAAAAGACGCCTATGTTAGCCCGAGGAGGTCCTAAGATTAAAAGGAAAACACAAGGAGGAATTCCTAAAAGAAAACGTCCTTTAGATGTGTTTGACTGAGAGAGTATAAATAGACCAGTCCAGTGAACAGAAGGTTCATTTGTGAAAACTTAATCCTAGTAGACACATCATGTTACAACCCGATTCCTGTGGGTGTGGGATGAACAATTTACAATTGTTCCAAGTCCCTCCGACTAATATTGCTTTAGAAGACTCAAAATGGGAAGAATATTACCCCATTTCCAGTATTCTAGATTCGGAGACCGCTCCCATCTAATTTGAAATTAAAGGACAAGGAGATCACTATCTGGATTTATCTCAAACTTAACTTCAAATGGTATGTAAATTTACCAAAGACGATGGAAGTAATCTGACTGGGGCTAACAGCACTTCCAGTCCAGTGAATAATATCTTACATTCCATGTTTACGGAAATCGATGTCAGTGACTCCGGGGACGGATACCTATCCTTACAAAGCTTATCTGGAGAAATTTTTGTCTTACCAACCCAGAACTTTAAAGACACAGATGAGAGCCTGTAGTCTGTGGGAAAAAGATACGGCAGGACACATGGACGAAGTGGGGTTAGAGGACCTTGGTGTAGCTCAAAATAAGACCTTTGATGTAACTAAAGGTCAAAGTGGTGCTGCCGACACGGTGACCATTAACCAACCCATCCTCACAGAGTTACCAGCCAATTCTAAAAACGAAGGATTCCGAAAAAGACACCAAGCTATCGATGGGAGTAAGAAAATTACTTTGCTGGATCGTTTACATCTGGATTGTTTCAACAAGATCGATTTCTGCCCAATGGAGTGGACGTCCGTTTGCGATTTAATCGAGCTAGACCCGCTTTCTACATGATGATCAAAGGAGGAAGTACAGGAAAAGTGAAAATTTTGAGTATGGTCTTGTGGGTGAGAAAAGTCAAACCCACACCAGTCATGATGAATGCCATTAATCAGAGTTTGAATACCCACAGAGCCAAATATCCCTTGAGAAGAGTGGAAATGAAAACCTTTACCATCCCCACAGGAACTCAGTCTAAGATTACGGATCATCTGTTTCAAGGCCAGATGCCTAAACGTCTCATTTTAGGCTTTGTGGAGAATGCGGCCTTTAACGGAGATCAAACTAAAAATCCCTTTCATTTCCAAAACTTTGGAATTAAGAAAGTAGATGTCAGTATCAACGGAGAGAGCATTAGTATTCGTTGTTTTGAGCCTAATTTCAACGACAATTTATATCTGAGATCTTTTCTCAGTCTGTATCAAGTCCTGGGAAAATTAGGAGAAGATTGGGCTCCGGACATTACCCTAGAAGAGTATAAAAGCGGCTACACTCTATGGGGCTGGGATTTCACTAAAGATCAAGAGGCGCAATCGGATAAATTCCACATCATAGAAACAGGAAATCTGAGAGTAGAAGTGCAGTTTACCAACAATACGGCTACCACCATAAATTGTGTGGTGTATGCAGAATCGATAACCTATTAGAAATTAACAAACAGAGAGAAGTGAGTATTGATTACAAAAAAATGGATACGGGACAAATAAGAGAAGTATTATCCAGGGAATTCAAGAGTTCTTTTGGGAGCGTGTATCCTGTAGATTTATTACCGGATCAATTAAGACCTGGAGAAAAAGCCATCGTCGTGAATACGGATCCTCAAGATCGACCTGGAGAACATTGGGTGTGTCATCCCGTGGTGGAATATTTCGATTCTTATGGATTTCCTCCCTTACAAAAATTAATTCAAGACTTTATCCAGCGTCATGCTCACCAATGGATTTATAATCCGTATCGCTATCAAGACTGGAATACCGATGTGTGTGGACAATATTGCGTGTATTATTTACATCAAAGAGACAAGAAAAGAAAGAAAGCGGACGAATGGCTATTCCCCTTTGACCAGAGTACGGCTTTGCAAAGGGATAAATACGTGGCTAATTGGTTTAAAAACACTTATCATAAATTACCTACGGGTCATGGACAAACATGTCAATGTTTTTATCAAAATGTATTGTAATGCATTGTTGTTGTAAACATGGTACAAACACACCTCAGTTGTTGACTGGCCTTCTTATGGGTAACAGCTTCAGCAAAGAAATGAGTCAGAACACTAGATTAGAGGAAACTGAATGGTTACTTAAACAGACGGGAGGAAAAGATATCATACCACCTCCCTTGATGGAAGAACATCCTGTAGAATATAAACCTCAGGAGGAGGAGGAAAAAGAAAACATAAGACCAAACAATAAAACTAAACAGCTGTTATTAGAAAAAAGATTGACAAAGCCACAGGATTTTAAACCCACAGAACCATTACAGAAGAGTCAACAAATAATGAAAGAAGTCAAAACTCAACTCTTGGAAGACAGTAAGGCTCATTATAATAACAAACATAAAGAAAATACAGGCAATCATTATATTGCTAAGTTTAAAAAAGACAGATTTAGAGTAGCCAAAAATTGGATATTCAATTTAACTGGGTGCCGACAGGAGGATGTAGATCAAATCATTCGAAGTGATTATCAATACTTGATCTTACAAAAAAAAATGCATCCAGAAACTGGAAAACCTCATCATGTGAGAGGATTCATTCAAATGAAATACAGCGGTCATGAGAGATACATGTACAAAAAGATTCATGGGTTAACCTGTTTTACTATGTCTCACAGCATACCAGAATTGGAAAGAACATTTTACAGACAAGGTGACTATGAAGAATATGGGGTTTTAGAACCTGATGTGAGAAACAAAGTATTAGTTCCAAGAGATTGTAGATTAACCTGAAAAAAAAATATTTTAAAAAATATTGAACAACTTGTACACACTTATGACAAACAGGTGTACATTCTTCATAAACATTAAGTGTATGTATGTGTGTTATTGTTTGATAAAAAAAATAAATGTTAAAAAATATATATGTCTGTGTTTTATATGAATTTATTAAAAAAGGGACTTCTGTGTTTTTTTTCTTTTCCATGTTTATTATTTAAAAAAAAATTAAAAAATTCAAAGTTATTTTAAAAAAAAGATTTTTTAAAAAAATTCTAAGTTCTTTTTAAAAAAAAATATAAAAGTGACCTGGTGTTAACTTGATACACATAAAACGTTTCTTGTTTACCTACTGTATAAGAAGGTATTCTTTTCTTAGACACAATTGTTTCTTATTTACCCACTGTATAAGAAGGTAATCTTTTCTTAGACACAAAATGTTTCTTTGACTGTATTCAAAGATAATCTTTTCTTAGACACAATCGTTTCTTTGATTGTATTTTAAAAAAGATAATCTTTTTTCTTAGACACAAAAACGTTTCTTTGACTTCATTTTTAAAGGTAATCTTTTCTTAGACACAAACGTTTCTTATTTACCTCTGTATAGATGGCATCTTTTCTAAACAATTGGGTGGCCGTGAAAACGGCCGGGGGTGATTTTTTTTGTCAAAGGGTTTACTCCCTTAGCAGGCGCTGGACTAACTCGCCGATGTTCTCGTCCTCACTGGTGGACCGAAACTCTGGGCGCTCTGAGAGGGGTGTCCTGGCTGAGGGTGCTGGCGGCGGTCTAGTCGGGGGTGGCGGTCTTCTGGGGCGAGGGGGTCTCAATCCCCTGATGCCGCGGGTGGCCACGTACCTTGACATAGAAGGTCTGGGTTCCCGTCGTCTGCACAGCGGGCAGCAGCCTAGGGGCGGCGTCTGGAGGACCAGCACCTCCGAGCACCGGTAACAGGCGGGCCTGTTCCGGCATTCACAACAAACGTAGTTGGAGGGCTGGTCCTCCTCCGGGCAGATGGAACACTGGGGGATCCTGGACTCGGGTAGCTGGATCCCCCAGACTGGCACGGGTCCCCTCGGCACTGGTTCCTCGTCTTCCGACGAAGTAGCCCAGTCGTTGGTGACGAGGGGGGCTCCCAGCTGGAATCCGAGTCCCATCCTCCTCCAATAGCTCCCTGGGGACTCTGGCTAGAGGACCACGTCGGCGTAGGCGGTCGTTGAGGGGGGGACGGGCTCCTCGGACTCACTACAGGCGGGGGCGATGGATTTCTGTAATTCTCCGAACTGGAGAGTGGGGGCGAATTTCCCCGGGGGGATCCCTCTGCCTCAGTCTCTACCCGTCTGTAGGGGGTGAGCCGCTGTCTTCTTCTTCTCTGCCTCTGTACCCTTGTCCCCTCATCCCTAGCCAGGCCCAGTGTGGCAATCGGCCATCTCGTAATCTCTCGTCCGGTGGTGACATCACGGACTATCCAAACCGCGAGGACTTCTACACCATTCACAAGGAAATAACTGGGAAGATCTTCTTCTCCGGAAGCCATTGCAAAACGTACACGATGATACTAACGAATGACGCCGACTGCTGGCGAGCGTCTGTATTTATGCACAAATTACGGACGTTAAAGAGAGCACCTCGATGGCGAGAGCCGAAATATCATGGTGAACCGAAATTGTGTGTGATTTGTACTTTGGGACCTAGACCTTTTCATGGATTATTTCGTATGTATTCATAGTAGGACTCCATCATGATACAGGTCTAAACAAGGTAAGTTTCCTGCTTCTTTTCATACTAGAATTGATACATGACATGCATCCGTCGTGGAGAAAAGAGTAAAAAACCTCGAAGCGACGAGGCGAAATCCAGTGACCCGAGTGTACAAAATAAGCCTTTTAAGTCTTTTTAGTGGGTGAGATCAGGAAAACTCATGTGGGTTCGGGAGAAGGGACCTAGGGAAGAGTGCCGATATAGTTTTTATTTCAAAAAAATCATGATCAGGGTAAAAAACAAGCTAAAATAGGTTTACCTTTAGACACAATGGGGGGTCAGAGGTCACGGATTTTCAGAAAATCATACTATGAGATAAATAAGTATTCTTGGAATCTAGGCTTTTTCTGATATTTTAAGAAAAATAGAATGCTTTGAGGTGAAAAACAATTCGTATCTACTTTTTAGATCATGTAGGAGTCTTGATCGTTTGTTTTTTACCAAAATCGAAAACTTTAGTGACACCGGGTGTCAACAACGTATTGCATACACATCTGATTTTTTAAGTAACCAGATCTTTTATGAAAGAAAATTTTATATGAAAAGAATCGTATGGGTTTGAAAACCATTCGTATTTACTTTATGGATCATGATCCACTCTAGATTTTTTTTATTTGATCAAAAACCATACACAGACTCCGCGTCCAAAAAAAAATTCAAGATGGCGTCATAAATAACGAAAGACTGACGTAGTTTTACATGATTTATTTCTTAAAGACTAACAAAGCTTCTAAGTGTCGAATTCTCCTCGAACAGGTATATAAAGCAAAGCTGGGAATTTAAGATCAGTCTTCGTTGGCATTTCGAACTTGACAGACGTGAAAATATTATGATAGAAGCAATGATGAATACCCCAGACAACCCTACTTATGTGACACCTGAAGGATATGTAGGACCCCCCATGCCAGAGTCACAGGACGCAGTGGAATTGGACTTAGGCATGTATAATCTTCCAGAATACATGAATAAAGAAGATATGGGCATCTTGACTACAACTCTGGATGGGATTGTTAACATGCTGACTGGTATTGATAACAAGCTGACTGATCTGAAAAATTACAACGCCAGTGAATTTTGTTTGATTCATGCGAAATTATCCAAATTATGAGTGAAAGTCACTAACATGCAAGACAAAATGAGAGGAGGAGGAAGCACTTACCAGAAAAAAGAGGAACAAGGGGGATCCGGAGATACTAAGAAAACTAGACAGACGGATCCATGCTACATCTGTAAAGAGTTTGGGCATTGGGCCCCAGATTGTCCCAAAAAAAATAGGATTTGTGCTACAAGTGTGGGAAATTTGGCCATTGGGCTAATAAGTGCCCAGAGGATGAGGAGGAGGATCAACAATTCGTAAAAGATATAGAAAAAGTGAAGAAAAAGCCTCAGGAACCCAAGACTTCAGGGACACACCAGACCAAACCCTTAGTGAAAGAAGGAGACAAAAAGGAGAAAAAGGAACACAAGAGAGAGATTCCAGGCCCCAGCACTACTCACAAGAGGAAACTTCCCTGATAAGTGAACATTGAAGTATACTAGTATACTAGTATATACTTTCAAGAAAATGCACTACAACCCATTTTTTATTTTAAAAAATTGCTATATTATGAATAAAAATGTCCTATTTGGTGTGCGCCTGCTTCTTCATCGGCGAATACTTTTAAAGTAAATTTTAAATTTTGGGGATTGTTGCTAGTTTGTTAGCTTTACAGATAGTGTTTAAAATGTTTTAAGGAGTCACTGTCTAATTAGTACTGTAAACCAAGTATTGTACGCGTGCGATAAATATCCGCGAGTTCCGCGAGCAACCTCTGCTCGCGGATATTTATCGTCGCGAACCAGTTGTTCAATAATCATATTCCCATGTGGTATGATTAGAGTTATATGCCCTTTTTTGAATACCGATCCCGACGGTTCAATAGGTAATCACGGAAGAACTTTAGTGTACTAGAAACA